TGTGTGTCATTCTGTAGTTCAATTGATTTCACAACCATCCAATAAACTTTAAGAATTTGGGATGGAGCTAGCCTCTGGCTACCAATCTTCAAACACAATTAGTGACCCCATAACCGGAGTAAATTTCAAAGTTGTCGCCATGAATAACATGGAGGACCTCATCAAATTTCCTAGACAACTCCACAACAGTCGCCTCAGCCTATCATTCATTGGCCTTCATGACTTCAACAAAATCAGCAAAAATCGTCTTGGCCTAATATTTGGCCTCTAGAATCGACGTCGCTACATCCTTTGTCGAGTCCAGTTCAAACTGATGATGATCCTTTTTGTTCAGGTAATCTCCTCCCCAATAAAATTTAGCTTACGTCATCTCTAAATAAACCTTCCTCTCGTAGAAGAGCTTCCTTATATCATCCAGCGTTCAGCTATAGAAATCGACCTAAGATGATGCCTTCCTAAAAGAAAAACCTTCTACTAAGAATCGGGCAGCAATTTCATGACTAAGTAGGCAAAACCATGTCGGCTAAATTCTAATATGAGCATCTACAGCTCAATATTATAAAGAAGCTTGCCATTAAAGAAGCACCAACTAAATACCAGATCAAGACCTTTCTTTGTCAGCACTCCCATAACACTCCTCACTAGAGCGTAAGATGACATCATCATCTGATGGTGTGTAGCTCCTTGACCCAGCCAAGTATTCAGGGCACTTGGCAGGGTCTTTCCCTTTACTCTGAGCAAAAATCTCCTCACCTCTGCCTGTTAGCTTAGCAAACTCTTCCTCTCCGCTAGAAGGTTTCATAATACATTTTACCCTCACAGGCAGGAGAGGAAATCTCTACCCCTCAGGCGCCCGTGGTCTCTTCTCCATTGCCATTATCAAACTCATCCCTACGTCGGCATCCTTCCACTTCTTCGAGCGGACCTCTCGATGCACTTTAGGACTGACCGAAGAAGGCTTTTCCTTTAACCTCATCACTGCTAATATAGTTTTGCTCATAGAAGCCAGATCCATAGGAAAAAAATCAACTCGCAATCTTCCTTAAAAGGATATATACAAAATTAAAATTAGACAAAGACTCCATCTCATCAAAACGAGCGAGTCACTTATCATAGAAAGTTTTATAAACATTCTAGTAGGTAACACGGTGTTGAACAAACAATGTTTCATTCTTCACACATTCAAGTATTACCTCCACTTCATAAAATAATTTTTGAAGAACCAACTTCTTCTTCCTCAGCTCAACCGGGGTAGTCAGCACCTTCCAGTCGAGTACACTCAAAATAATGAGTTTTTACTTCCAATCTCGCATCTTATTTTCCAAGCCTGCTATCTTGCCGAATGCATGCGAGATTTGGATGAAGCACTCTTAAGACTCTTTCACCATGAACACATGCATGAACAAGCTCAGTGACCCCAACAAATTGTGTTCCCATAAGAAAGATGCAAACTACATGATCACCACCATAGAGTTTATCAATAGTTGAGTAAGAACTACTCTAGTAATTCAAGATTTCCTCTATCTCAACGCACAAAGGAAATCATAGCCCCCAACACCAAGTGATCTATGAGAATGACCAATTCTCCATCCAGTGTGGAGTTAATACATCATCCTTCACCAACCTCACAATGTAGTCAGTATGAGAAAAGCAGAAAGCTTGGATGACATACTCTTTAGTAAGAAGAGTTTTATGAATAGCCTTCTCGTGAAGGAACCTGCTAACACACTTATACAAGACAAACATATCAATAGAAATGTTTAAGAACAAAAGAAACGTAAAAGATAAAAATAAAGATCCCATTCTCATGACCCTATCTCTTATATTTATAGCCTGAACCTGGCACACATAGATCAAAACATCTCAAATCAAATTCAATGTGAAAAATCTCACCATTCCCTCTCATCATAACAATATCTAAAGAGCTAAATCACTCTCACTCCCAATTACTGCATTAGTAATTCTCAAAATCAATCCATGGCAAACCTGCTGCCTCATCCTATTTAACGAAATTTTAAAAAATACAAATATCCTTTTTTTTCTTTTTGCAAGTCACTTCAAGAAGCCAATGATTTTATTCATGAAAAAGGGCAATCGCGCCCGAACACTTAGACATATATAGAGACTGGAAAATGAAAACAAAATTAACCTATACAGTGACCATACCAGACACACTCCAACATAGGATCTTTCATCATACTCCGTGCTAATCTGCTTATCTTGTCAATGTAATCAATAATGTTTTTGAGCTCCCTGGTGAAATCCCTCCTGCTTCGTCTGACTAAGCATTAAATACCACACAGCTTCCACCAAGTACATACGACTTCACATAGCCAACATCTATTCATTCAATAAAGCCACAGCTCCTCTCAAATTGATATCTAGCAACAACTTCATTTTTAATAATATTTCATATCTATGCTTATTATTTTATAATTTTTATATACCTTGTGCCATGTTCAAAATAGCGCGCGCCGCGCCGTGCGCTATGCGCCATGGCTCTAAAGGGACCTTTGCGCCATGGTGCGCCATTCGCCGTTAAGAAGTATGGTCTTAACTATCGACTTCAATGCCACCAACCTTCCTATAATGTCATCCAATGAAATTCACGGTGAGGTTTGTGTACAAGGTACACTAGAAGGAAGTCAGTAGCTGCTCAACGATCTTCCCCCAAGTTCACTCCTCAGCAACCTCTTCAGCAACCATTTCAACAATATTGGCAGGATCAACAGCAACTATATTCCGCTCTAGGGCACTAACCTCCTTTAAGGCTGCTTCATCTGTGCACTCTTCTGTTTGATTAATCATTCATTTCTTACATCAATAGTTTGGAGATTTACCACTTCTTTTTCTCCACTCTTACAGATAATTAGGAGTCAGATTAAACTTTCAACCCCTAATTTGGAGTCACGAGAGCTGAGACACATTTTCACTACTACTAGATTCCTAAACTAGGATTTGTCATGGAAGGAAATGTGCAATAATTATAAAACAATAGTAACAACAATAATATTAAGTCTTTATCTCACTAAATGAGGTCAACTACATGAATTTTTCTCCATTATATCATATTAAAAGTCAAATACTCATTTAAACTAATAAATAAAGGTCATTTCTAATTATTTATATTTAAAATTTTTTAGGTCTATCTCTACTTTCTTAACATAGGCCATATCTAATACATCCATGGTTTAAAATTGCGCAATATGAGGCCCGCCTTTGCACAATTCCAGTAAAAAATGTCTCGATGCTTACGCCTCGAGTTTTTTTTATGAGGCTTGCACCTCAACTTGGTTGAGGCCCGCCTCACCTCACTGGCATGAGGCTTACACCTCACGCTATATATATTAAAACTTACATAAATCTTGAAGTAAATACCCGACATTGGACTCTATAGGAGAGGAGGAAGGGGAGAGAGCAGTTCATCATAATGATGATTCAAATGAATAACCCCTTAGTGATGACAGTGCTGATGACTTATGAGTACTTATGTGATATGTCATTGCTATTTATTTTTGGAAATTGGAATTATATGTTAATGAAAAGAATACTGGGATTTGGAAAAGATAGAATTTTGAGTTGAACTATATTTCATGTTGTCTTATTATTGGGATATTTTGATTTCACTTCATATCTTATGTTTTTTTATGTTTTATATTATTCACTCATTAGTATATAAAAAATTTATCATTTTATATTTACACAATTTTTTGCTTTTAAGGCTTACGCCTCAAAACGCCTTGAGGCTTACGCCTTGCCTCACGAATGAAAAACGTCTCAATACCCGAATACACAATTTTAAACATTGAATACATCTACTCTCCTAAGCAAGTCATCAGAAGATGAACACTTTATGTGACGAAATCATCTAAAGTGACTCTCTCTAATCTTATCTGATATAGGAGCAACTCCAACATTTTCACATATATAGTGGTTTCGCATTCAATTTCTAAGTGTAAAGCCACTCATCCACCTAAGCATCATCATCGTTGCAACACTAAACTTAAAAAAGTAAGCTTCTCTTTTAATGGCCAACATGCAATAATTATAAAAGTGTTATTATTATTATTATTATTTTGATTGATATACTCACTTCAGGAAGAAGGTTGCCAGAATAAACTTTTTGGTGGACTGTAAGAACATAGTTTATACATTCGTAATTTGTTCTTTATTTCTAATCTTTGGTTAATTTCTCTGTTTATGTTACTGGTATATTTCCTGGCCTGAATTTTTGTAGGGTATTGATTTTAGCAGAGAAGTCAATTGGAAATATATAATTTTCATTGCATTTTCTTCTATTAACTATCCATTGGAATAGTCTTTAATTAGTGTTTCCCTACCATCTATTTGTAGTACTAATTTTATATTGGGAGATTGCTATTTAGTATATTTTGGAATAAATTTTATCTTTAAAGTATCTCTTAATTTGTTTGGAAATTTTTAAATGTTGCTTTATGTGCTGACGTTTGTATGCAAAGTTTTTTTAATTAGCCTCAAAATATCACATCATTTAAAGCTTAAATTCGTGAATAAAGATAGTCTGCAAATGCAATAATCAAAATAGTATATAATATGTTTGATTACTATATATCTTTTGTGGTTTTACAGAATGATAAAATGATTCTAAACATAGAAATGTAATGTTGTAACAAATAGCAAATTGAGAATTAAATAAAATTATTTTTATAAGCATCATCGACTTATAGTTGTTCTTACAGATGGGAAGTTTTCTTATGCAATTATTTTAATGCCTTGCGATGATATCCAAGCTTTTCTTCTCATCAAACGCAGTTTATCCGATCATTGTATATCCATGTCGGTCCCGTTCATGTCATACCCGATAACTACAAAAGATGAATGATGATACAATCGAAAGAACTCTATACAAATGAAGGCTGAAATATATTGGGAAAAAGAAAAAAAAAAGGAAAGCAAACAAGAATTAAAAAAAAGGTAAGCAAGAAATTCAACTTCATATACCTCAAAATACACATAATTGAACAAATATACCCACTATTTATTTTCTTTCAAAAAATATTGTTAAACCTTTCATTCAAACAAAACTATCCTCTTGTATTTGTAAATTGCTTATACAAGTTCGTCGCAAACCAAATTAGTTTCAAGTTGAACCGTTATTTGAACTTGGTTTGAACCTTAGTTTGATCCTTCCATTAGATCGTAGTTCCAACCAAGGTCCCTTGAGTTAATCCACTCTTTCACACATCATTGTTCTGTGATGCCTCCCCTAGCAAGCTCTATTGCACGTTCGATCGTGTAATGTCTTACCTTGCATAATTAGTCCACAAACAGTTCTTCTCCTCACATACACTTGATCTCGGTATTGCCTTCCCCATTGAGCTCCATCACATGTCATGGGTCCCGTGATTGTATTCCCCATTGAGCTCCATGACATGTCATGGGTCCCATGATTGCCTTCCCTAGTGTGGTTTGTTCACAAACTCCTCTTCTCCTCACACATAACCAATCTCATTAATGCCTCCGTCGATTTGTGATGATATAGGTCATGCATCAACTATGTGAAGTGCTATAAGTTTCCAAGAACCACAATTTTCTACTTTTGAAACACTTAGTCTAAGAGAATAATCCAAGCAAATAGATGCTTACATCTTACGGAACTGAAAAGAAAGGCATGCAGCATGCTTTATTTGAAAGGTTTGAATAACCATGTGCTTCAATTTGATGAAATTGAGACAAAAATTGATCAAGCAGAACTTAAGCCAGCTTACAAACCAACTCAACTCAGTTACAATTCTAGTGGTACTCAACCAAGCTTAACTCAATTACATCCTACTTTACTGACCCTGCTACAATCCTAAATAAGAGAACCACATCATAAGAAGAGCCATGAGATAATCCCTCAAGAAAAATAATTCTATTATTACAACTTAACATCTAATTATTTACACTTGAGTATTAGATATGCAGCTAACAATCTCTGTTGAATAAACAAACGTTTAAAAAATGATTCTCAAAATTTTATTTTCCAATGAAGTATGCCAGTCCATGATTGGTGAAGTACAGTGTTTTCAGCTTGAACATGCACGAAAATGCACAAAATTCTGAATGAATGAAAAAATATGATAAATCAATCCCGGCTTTTAGAAGTTCCTACCTCAAAGAAGTCAAATGCCATCCAGAGAAGATCTGCTTCAGCAACACTTCAATCAATCTTCCCTCTATCCAATTCCGAACAATACAACGAAGATTAGTAAAGTGTTTGATTAAATCAGAAGAACCAGCTAATTTCAGACCCGACACCTCAGTAGCAGCGTTATAGAGACCCACGGGTCCCTAAAGAATAACTTCTTGAAGATCCCTAAAGAACAATTTCTTGAAGATGAAATAGATTCCAAAATGGATCAATCCAACTGGCAGGGATAATAAGAGGTTTGGACAACTCAATATCTGTTCTCCATTAAAATGTAGAGATGTTTTATGCTCACCTTTGTTTTGTTTATGAGCTACCAGTGCAAGAAGAGCTTCTCATGTCTTGTTCCTCAATGTTTGGAGGGTAAACAGTGTCAAAAACAACCCGGGCAAAGACATGACGAAGCTCAGCCAAACCACCATGGGCCAGACTCTGATAATTAATTTTACTTCCTTGTTTTGGAACAAAGCCTCCCTCTGAATCTCTGCTTTTAACGCATTCAAAAATCCGGCAAACCCTCAAATAAAGTTGCAGGGGAATGAATACCTACAATTTGATAAAAAAATTTAGAATATAGAAGTAACCAACTCATTAAGACTTTGAAAGAGAAGATATTGAATAAGTTCGCAATGTAGAATTGGACAAAGAAAACCATGCGTATCAACTCTATAATAAGAATGTCTTTGTCAGAAATTTGAATCCAAATATCCCACTGCATCCATAGAAGAAAACAAGCATGCCTTTTACTTCAAAATTTTAACTTAGGCTTCGTTTGGGACGGCTTTTTTATTGCTTTCTAAAACGGAGTTTTAATAATTAAAAAAAAAATTGTACTAAAACTCCATTTTAGAAAGCAATAAAAAAGCCGTCCCAAACAAAGCCTTAGTGTTATTGTCAGTGTAATTAAACATTTTTGGATCTAGATTTCAGGTAAAAAACACTGTTCATATTTTATTTTCCTTTTTTTATTTTTTTTTTATTTTCATATCACTCTCATTCCCAGTATCCAAACACGCCCTAAATGTTAGGAACAGCTACTCACCAGATTAGACATTGGAGCCTGAGGATATTGTGCCATTTTTTGTGAAACAAAATATTCATCAGTCATACATTCTAATGCAGTAATCACTGATGAAGCCAGGTCTAAAACCTCATTTATCAAACCTTTATCCTCATCCCACATCCGGGGTTCCAATATTTCTGAATAGTTTTGATTGTGCTCACTGGTGATCCTCCTGGAAATATTAACAGCTTCAAGCATATCTCCACCATTATGAACAGCCAAGCTGAAAGTAGCCACTACCAATGGATCCCGAGGTACACATGCCAGTGCTTCGTGAAATGCCAATATTGCAACCCTGTTACAAAAACTATAGGGGTGAAATAACAGGATGATCAGGATGAGTATACAAACCACTGAGATGAAAAAAGAGTAATTATTTCTACAATAAATATTTAAAATCCCCTTATCTTCATTGTATTGGTTATCATTCAAAGAAAGCCCCAAGAGTTTTCCAAATGAAACGACCTTACAGCTAAAACAAATAAAGCAGATCACATTTCTCTACCAAGGTAAAAAAAAAAAAAACTGTAAAAATTGTAATGAGTCATTACATAATTGCCAAGTTAAACAGTATTAGAAATATATTGTTTCAGAAATGGATGCAAGTAACACCAAGAACTTACTTCAATGTCTAAGTATCTCTTAAGTACGTTCATTAGAATGACTAACCAACCTAATGTATTTGGCTAGGAAGTTATGTAATACCACAGTTTAATTTTTTATACTAGACAAAGCCAATGTCAATAATTGGCATTATTATATATGCAAAATAACAACTCTTCATAAAAAGATAAATGATTCAATAAAGCTGACATTTAGAATACCAAGATCTTTTGAAATTCAAATGTCCTTAATTGAATTTGTACACCCAAAGTGACCTTGGTCAGTCAACACATCTTTATCATATAAAAAATTTGAAACAAACCACCCAACTCTATTTAATCAATTCAGATCGCCATCATGAATCACATAAAGTCAGTTGTCAAACACTTGAACCAAATCACCTAGGTTATCTCGCCTTTTAACTAAAGCTTCCAAAAAAGTGGGTCTACTCGACAATTGAATCTTTCAAGTTGTATAAAGCTACTAAGGCACTCAAAATAAACTCGCCAATCTTTCAAATTGTATAAAGCTACTAACCTACTCAAAAAAACTTGCCAAGAGAACTTCCAATTGAACTTGTTATTGATCTTGCCAAGGTAGTTAGCCATGGAACTTGACAGAGAGTAAGCCATATGAAAGTCTTCCACAAATGAACTCGTACTCAGCTTGAAACTCAGCAGAAGTTAACCAAGTACTTGGACAACCATTAGTTAGAGATATAATCAAACTGAGTTGAGCTGAGCACATCATATATTAGACTTGGCTTAATTATACTATGAGTTGTTCATATTTGGCTTGAACTCGAGCTAACCTTTCATCTATAGGTTCTTTCTAGGTTTGTTTAATTTTTTTTATTCAAACTCAGGCTTGTAGTTAGCTTGCCTAAATTAATCAAATAAGTATTTAAATGAGATAATGAACAAGCTAAAATTTTGAATGAGTGCTTATTGATCTGGGGCTAAAGGACATGGGTTACTTGAATTAGGCTTGTGTGACAATGATGCACAGGATGAATATGAGTAGGTTTTCTATAATATTAATTATCCATTAGATACGCAAGTATACCTGTCAATCAAATAAAAAAATGATGAGAGAGTGTCAATCCAACAAGAAAGTCTTATGCTTAATTGTAATCAAACTACTACCATCTACTATAGATGCAAGATTTATTTTATTGAACGAAAATCAGAGGTTTTAAGTTTCTGCTACTTATAGAGAATGCAAAAGATAATAAGACACTAAATATATAAAACATGTTTTGGACTAATGTCTGTAAAACAACAATTGTTTTCTAATAAAACTCTTAAATGTTGATGTGGATCAAAGCATATGCATCTCTAAATCTTTATCAATATTGTAGGGGTGAAAAGGGAGGATTTTCGCCTTCCTACAATACTAATATCTCAATAGAACCTAGAAGATTAAACATCTTATGTCTAGACATGCCAACATTTCATTTTAATACTTCTATTTATTCCAATATTCCTCCGTCAAGGCAATATATAATGCTAGATATTAACGGCACACATGATCATTGTATGTATTAAATTAAGAATGGGAGATAATGAAAAAATTCATTACTTATTTAAGACATAAGAGTCTACATTAGTACTTGTAATGTGTTCACATCATTAGCTCAAAACACAGAAATTAGACGATCATGAATAAGATAAATAGCAAACAAATCTTCATTTCAAGTATAGAAGAAAAGATACATGATAAATAAAGGTAAAATATCACCAGGATAGTACAAATGCACTTCTTCACACTCCTTCCTCCTTTAAATGTAGGATTGCTTACAACAAGATAGGCTAAGATCTTCAATGAAAGTATCTTACACTTTTTTAGCCTTCCTTAAACATTAATCTAAGATGGCACTAAAGAACTACATTGAAAATTACATAACTTTATTGAATGTTATGGAACTATTTAACAAAAGAACTGCAAAACTATTTATAGTAAGCAAAAAATGACCTCAAGCATCACGGCACCCGACTTGGTAGCGCTGCGGCATTGATAAATTAACTAGCGCCTCAGGACTGAAATATTTTCTCCGTTGTGTTGACGAATATTTTCGCATCGACTCGACCCCGATTGAACCCGACGAGGCTCGATCATACTCGATCGACCCATTCAATCGTCGTCGAGGCGAAATTAACCCAAATTAAGCCCAATTTAATTAAATTAAATCCAATTTAATTTAATTAAAATCAAATCAATTTAAATTTAACCCCGTCGAGCGTCGTCGAGCCCAATTCGACGCTATTCGGCATCAATTCGAGTTTAATTTTGTAACATTAACTCGATCAGACCCAAATCGATCCAATCCGAGTTCGATTCGAGCTCAATTTCAACCCTAATTTGTCAATTTGGGCTGAATTTGGTTCTCAAAACAAATTTTGAGATCTAGGGCTGAGATTGTACTCCAAGACCCACCCATTTTTATTTCAATTGAGCAGAAAATCTACTCTAGTAGATTTTTCTCTCATTTCTCGCAACGAGGCAGGGAGATGGGACAATTCAGGAGGCTCTACGCATGTTGACCTGCTATACCGTGCAAAAAGAAAAAAAAATTCCATACCTCTCTGCCATCGCACGTCGTTCGCACGTCGTAGCCACGACCGACGTCGCATCCCCCACGTCGCTCGCACAACTCGCTCGAGTCGTTAAAAGCCCGAAAGCAATGAGGCCTTCGGCCTCTTACGCGATTCCTCCTCTCCTCCCAAGCCCGCTCTCCCCCTGCGCTCTCTCTCTCTCCTTCCAGTCGGAACGGAAGTTACGACATTTTGATCGGAAGCAATACGGGAGCTCGTTCGCTGTGGAGACAACCTTCTCCCTTCCAGCACCCTCCCTCGGTTCTCCCGTGGCCGGTCGACCCCGCTCCTTCGAGCGACTTTCCCTTCCGGTAGGATCGGAAGTTACGACTGTTTGATCGGAAGCAACTCGGGAGCTCGCTCGGCTGTGAAGATAACTTTCTCCCTTCCGTGCGTTTCTTCGGCTCCTTCCTGGCTGTTCGACCTCGCTTCCTCCAACGACTTTCCCTCTCTGTTGGACCGGAAGTTCAACATTTTGATCGGAAGCTACGACGGGAGCTCACGGACACTGAAGGTAGCTTTCTACCTTCCGAGCTTCTCTCGGCCAAATCCTGTAAATAAAAAAAAAGTCTTTTTTTTATATAATTATAATAATTACTAATTATTTTTAATTATTAATCAATTATATTTATAATTAATTAATTAAATATAATTAATTAATAATTAATTATTTTTAATTATAATTAATCTAAAATAATAATAATAATAATAATAACGATTCTTTTATCGATGCTTGCAACGAACCGGCAAACCCCCGAGGCGCTCACGTAGCGTTTAGGGTGGGAAACCGGTGCGATGCTCGCGACGATTTAAGGATCCCTCTTCAAAGCTTGCAACGAGCCGGCAAACCCCCGAGGCGCTCAAGTAGCGTTTAGGGTGGGAAACCGGTGCGGCGCTTGCGGCGAAGGGGATAAAAAAAATGTGTTCTTTATTTTCATATAAGTACCCCCGAACGCCCACGTGGTGCAGAGGGGGGAAATCTGCTTTTTCTGACTCGTGCTCCACACCCTTAAACGCTCACGTAGCGGGCAGGGATTTTGATAAAATATGCGACCGCGGTGTCACTTTTGGCATCTACCTGAAGCGCTCACGTAGCGTCGAGGGGAAGGTTGCCTCTTGGTTTTTCCCCTAAACGGGGGAGACGCCGGGAGGCTGCCGAAATTCAGACTGAAGGCACCGTGGACTTGAACAGAATTTTGGCCTATATGTGAGCAAGTTTTGGACATAAAAGAACAAGAGCCTGCATTCAAATGAACATGAACAGTAGACTTGTGGACCATCGAACTTGATTGAACACGAGCAGAGGAACTCGTACTTAAACTCAGACTCGAACTTGTGAACCTTAGAGTTGAGTTTAAATTTGATTGAATCATATGCAAAATGACTGAAACTTAAACTAAGTTGAGGAATCAAGCTAAATTCAAACGAGTTGACCTCGAGTGCAAAGGATTTAAATCAAACTGGCGGATATTGAACTTGAACTGTACGATATCAAATGAGATGAACAAGACTTTGAGCAAAGACTTGAACTTGTACGTTGGAACTCAGACCTGGATTCAAACACATATAAGGACAAGGCTTGAATCCAGTGCAAGGGAGTTCAAACAAGAACATGTGTATGGTTAATAATGACTCAAAGTCCAACACAAGATCTGGATGCACGAACTCCTACAACAATTCCCACAAGGTCAATATACTATGCTTGCAAGCAACAACATACAGTTGCAAAGCATCCGAGCAATCAAAGATCCGTCCTCTACAAACAAGAAAAATCAACGAACCACCTGAGATTGGTGAAAGGTGGACATGATGCAGATATAATAGACCCCTACGACAATCCTTACAAATGCCTGTTAATTGAGATGGCTATACAGAAGACCAATGATGGAGGATCCGCCTCCCTACAAACAAGTACAACAACCACCCGAGATTGGTGAAAGGGTGGATATGGTGCAGAAGCAATTGGTCTTCTACAAAACATTTTTAGGAGGTCGTATTGAATACAACGGTCCCCTGCAAATGTATACTTGTGGATAACAACAGTGTATTGAAAGAACAACAAATCACTGTGGACACAAGTACAGATATCACCTACGACAGCGGTGACCAAAATTTCCAAGTATGTCGGGTATAAGAGTGACTCGATATACAAAAAGTACACCCCCTGGCAGAAAGGGGGGAAATGTCTGAACAAATTAGAACCAAACTTCATGGTGTTCCAAAGTCTCTTTTTGGTTCTATAATTAAGAAGAGAACAGTTTGGGTGCCCACAAACACCGGAAATAGCAAGTCCACAGTTCGGGTGCACATAGATGCACGAGCACTGGAGATCACAATAAATGAAGGAAAACTACAACAACTACAAGCATCTATGAACCACTGTAGAAGGCCCTCGTACTTAAAAACCATGTTGAGAAGAAGTGCGTTTATCTTGTGTTGGAGCTGAGGAGTTTGTTGATCAAGTACAAATAAGTCCTCCAATTAAAAACTTTAGAATTATGATAGTGACAGCTGAGACAAAGGCAACCTGGTACAAAAAGGAAGCCCGTTGATTTACATCCAAATTATAACACTCAGCATGCGAAGTTGAATGATTCTATGAATGATTTTGTAGAGTCAAAGAATGAGCAGTTGAAGAAAAAAAAAGTGTCTCATTCTAACATCTCTTCAGAAATACTGAAATTTCTGGAGAAATGTCGTATTATCTGAATAAAGGACAAATACCAGGAGATCAAGCTTCACAACCTAATGTCCTACACATGCACTGTAAAATGTTTCATCTACAAATTGGAGAAAGCTGCTCTTAAAAAAATGATGGCCGGCGACAGTTGGTGGGCGGCGGTCGATAGGTGGCGGTGACCAGGGGTGGCAGGCAGTGATCGATGGTAGGTGCTTGGCAAGTGGTGGTTGGCGGACAGCACCAATTGGAATAAATTTTCAATGCATTTGGAACTTGCCCGAATCGGAGGAATTCCAAATACGCTAAAAAAATAAAGATGGTGTATTCCAAATGAACCAAAATTTTATATTGCATTTGTTTTACTTCAAACCAAACGTCAATATTTTCAAACTCTTGTGTTTGGATTACTTTACAGTCCTAATGCAGGCAACCAAACAACCCATTAGTTCCTTCATTTTTTAAATAAACTAAACTCGTCTAGTTTTGAGCAATAACTGTTTACACTGCAAGCAAACTTGCTTGACTATCACCTCCCGCCCCTGCTGACCACCTCCGACCACCGCCGCCCATTGTTAGCAACCATAGCCACTACCCCCATCGACCACCTACCAACACCCACCGCCGCCGCCCAGTGCATCCACCCACTGCTGCCCATCGCATTGCCGCCCGCCGCCCCAACCCACAACTACAACTGAATATCACCACAATTGTCAGCACCGGCGCTGTCGCTGCCGCCACCAACCGACCGCTGTCATATTTGTACTTTACACTACATTCATTTTACTTCAAAGCAAATAAAAAAATATTCACATGTATTTACTTAGCACTAGTCCAAATAACTCCAAAGTATTCCTTTTACATTGTATTCCTTTTACACTGCATTCCTAATGTAAGAGAATTTGAACATTTAGACCTCCACTAATGCTATGATAACAAAGCAAGAATAAAATAAAAAACATGTATCAAATTCAAGGGACCTATCATTAAAAATTGTAAACTTCAAATAGCTAATCAATAACTAATGAGATATAAATGTCTTATGACATTTAAATTCATTTTTTAACATACGAAGGATGACCTTTGGAAAACAAAACTGATTGAAAATTTAAATGAGCAAATATGAGCTATTAATAAGTTATGAGAAGTTTAATGGACCTTGTATAGCAAAAAAATAAGTAGGAATAAGTAGATATATTCAACAAACAACACCGATCACATTAATGACAAAAAGGCAAAAACGAAAATAAAGCAAGTTCAATAAAATAAAAATTATTCAAATCAGAATTCAATCAAAGTTCAGAACAGATTTCAGAAAACATTCAAATCATATTTCATCACAGATTTTCCTGACTCAGATAGAATCTCAAAGGATTCTGGCCCTTATGCCTCTCTTCCTTGACACAGACAGAATCTCAATGGATTTTGGGCCCTTATGCCTCCCTTTGTGCTTACAGCACCAAAATATACCAGATATACAGAATTATCAGATCATAATTCATTTTCCTATTCCCGGACCCAAACAGAATCTCAACAGATTCTGCCCCCTTATGCCTCCCTTCCCTGACACAGACTGAATCTCAAAGGATTCCGGCCTCTTATAACTCCCTTCTGATATCATTTAAATCACATCAAACATCAAATCACATCAGATTCAGAGAAATCAGATTCGTATTAGAATATTGTCGGAGAGTATAACGCCAGACAACATAAATTCAACAGATCAAAATCACAGTTTTAGAAAATTACTAAATTACTACAGATAGTGTAAAACATCATTTTAAGACTTTCATTGTACTGAAGCAATATTTTCCAACATCCAGATAATTTTCTATTCGGTAAAAACTCCGCAGAATTCAAACTACCTGGTGAAAACTTTTCAGAAAATACTCAAAACGTGCAAAAACATCATCTCTACAACATACCAAAAGTTACGCGATAAAAGTTTCGTCGATACTAAAATGGGTCACTTTTAGGCTAACGGAAACCAAAATCGAAACAAGAAATCCGTCAAAAATCACATTTCTGAAAATTGAGAAAGGCATAATGTGCCTTACCTCGAGTAGATCAACTTTCCCAACTACGACGACTGATGAAAATGAACCAAAGTCGCCCAAAATCCACTTTTTCTTCCTCTTTCTCCATTTTTCTCTCTCCTCAGCTTCCTCTCTCTTAAAAAATGACACTGTTCAGATAATTATCAAACAGGATCATCCAGGACGATTCTCTGATCGTCCCGGGACAATCTCCTTTGGACACGGATTGTGCAGATGAAAATCAATTCCAATTCTTTCGTCCCTGGATGAGTTGCTCTATGGAAAATTTCGTATGGACAAAGCTACCTTCATCATGGGACGAATCTCTCTGTCACCAAATTTATAACTAATCGTCCCGGACGAACTCCACTTCGTCCGGACGATCCTGGAAGGAAAACAAAGAAAACGGGCTTTTCACAGGATTATACTTGGATGCGTTGTAGAGGATCAACAATGGTTTGCCTCGAAAGGAGGTCCAACGGCGGTTGGCAGCCGGTGGTTCGATGGAGGTCGACGACTGAGTGGAAGTCTGATAATGGTCGGTGATTGGGTGGTGGTCCGATGATTGTCGGGTCGAACTTCGATAGCGGTCGACGGCCAGGTGGTGGTTCAAAGATAGTCAACGAACAGGTGGTTGCCCGACATTCTTTCGGGCCGAAGTTCTGTGGCGGTCAATGAACGGGCGGTGGTTTGACGACGGTCTATGTGAGAGCTCATTCCTTTGATTTGCCTTCTCAGATTTGATTTTTCCTCCCAGGATCGTCCAGGCCGATTTGGGATCGTCTTGGGACGATCAGTGCATGGCAAAATCCCGAGAGCAAGGGTTTTTGCCAAATTAATTATCGTCCTGGAAAATCGTCTTGTACGATTGAAAATTGGTCATATCGTCCTGGACGATGTGGTGATCGGCCAGGACGATCAGACTGATGT